CCGTCCCGCCCGGAGACGGTGTGAGCATCTTTCCGTGGAAACTCGGCCCCCACACTGCTCTTCAGGAAGAAGGGGGTGACAGGCGGGGCGGGCGGCCGGTGGGGCGGGCTCGGAGCTGTGCCCTGGCTCGCTGGCCAGAGGGGGTCATCTGTGGCGAATTTTGGCGCCTGAGCTTTCCCCACTGTAACCTCGGCTTATTTAATCATTGTGAACTCCCTTCTTGGTTGCGCGGAGATAATGAAGTTGTAAGTTCCCTCTGGAGGGCCTAAGGGGAATATCAGACCAACACGCCGCTGAGTATCTTCTTTTGACTACAAACGCGGGCAGAGGGACTTGAGCTGTCTGACCTCAGATAACCCTGGGACTCGAAAAGTGGGGAGGAGGCCTCGGCGCCGCCAGGTGGGTGAAGTTCAGCGAAGTAACTGCGGTAACGCCCGGGGGCAGGAAGTATCCGGTCCTGAGGCTGTAAAATTGGAACTGCAGGGGAAGTTTTCTGATGAAGTCACATGGACGAGCCTTGGCGTTGCGGTCGGTCAGGTCAGCGTGGGGAGCTTTTGTTTCTATGGAAAACCCCGACAAAGCTGTTAAAGGTGGGGGAACCCCGCAGATGAGACAGTTCTTCAAAATAAAGAGCAGTCACCTTCAGTAATAGGCAGGAGGGATTCCCCTAGGGGAGGTCCGGGAAATAATAAACAGTAGGTAAATATGAAATTAAGAATTCAGAGCGCAAATTCAGAATTGAAAGTATCGTTTCACATAGCTGTACCTGTATTTTGTTTTGTAACCAATAGTCATTTCAAGGTGATACAGTTAGGGATTGTCATTGTAACAAAATATTTAAAATGTCTTCCTGGAAAATTCACCCAACCCCGACACCAGTTTTTGTGTTGTCTTTTTATTTTGCTTGTGAAAATGTGTTTCCCTTTATACTTTTTTTTATAATAGATCATTTTGGAAGTATTTGTGTTCTCTGTCCCCAGTTTGTTTTTGAGATCTTGGCCTTGGGACCATGATGTTAAGTTCAGTAGCACAGCTCAGACCTGTTTCAAATATCTACTCTTGGATCATATAGAGTACAGGGAGTTAGTAAACCATCAACTGAGGGTTTGGGCTGCTACTTTAGTAGCTGATATAAATAAAATAGAGCCAAAAGCAATTAAGAATTATCTTATATGACTCCACGCTTAAAATTATGTAAAGTGAGGGATAGCGCAGTTGTACTGTGTGATAAAGGCATAACGGGGGCTAACAGGGCTTGCGTGGCTGGAGCGGGAGATGGGGTGAGCACAGGTGCCCTTTAGGACTGGGTGGAGGAGAGATGAGGGGTTTTCTAACTCGGGGCCAAGTGGAGTAGCACCTTCACGATCTAGGAAAGACTCGTTCAGGGACATGGGGACCTTGGCAGCCATGCCAAGGAGTGTGGACCTTCTCCAACAGCCGCTGGAGCCGTGAGGGCCTCTGGGTACAGTCCTGGCAGGGAAACGGTGAACCTAATCAGGCAGGATTGCGTAGGGTGTTTGGGGATCAGGAAGAAGCCAGGAAGCGAGGAGACCCGGCAGTTGGTTCCTCTGTCCCCTTAGCAAACAAACGTAAACACACACGCATACGATGCACACGCCTCCCCACGCTGCTTCCCCTGTGGGGTTCTTCATGCACTTGGATCTTGTCTTGCTCGTTTCTGTTTCCTCCATATGTGGTCTGTGGCTCTTGGCTTGATACGTATTTCCTAATCGTGGGAAGTTCAGAGAAGGGTAACTTCTGGTCTGACCCAGAGTGTGAGGACAGTTAGCCAACGAGCCCCCTTCGACCTCCTCGGCCACTGAGTTGCTTTTTCCTTCCACTTATCCAGTCACTTATTGAGCACCTGCTGTGTGCTGGGCCGTGCTACCCACGGCGGGGGGTGGGGGTGGGGTGGGCCTAAGTGCCAAAGAGGACATAGCCTCTGACCAGATGGGGCTCAGATGGGGGGGGGGAGCAGGGTGCTGCGGGTTGACCAGGGCAGCAGAGACCTGTGTGCAGCGTGTCTGGGGGGCCGGAGGGAGCCCCTCCCCTTGGGGTGGGGTGCTCCTCCCCCAAAGGCTGTGAAGATAAGTTCATTCCTGGAGTTCCTTTAGGAAAGCTATTGACATGTGCCGCTGGGTGTGGTGTCGGGTTGTGGTTTCCCCACCTGACTGCCTCCCATCTGGGCAGGTAGCTCACAGGGTTCTTCTGAGGCCAGTTGGTCGGATGTGCAGGGAGCAGGCAGCCCCACACAGATTCTCCTATGGAATCTTCTCTGCAGGGCAGGCCTGGGGACGCTGCTGCCCGGGATGACGAGTCTGGGAAAGACCGGGGCCCCGCAGCCGCAGCCAGAGCAGGTGCAGGCCCGGTGGGTCACTGAGGCAGGCGATGGCCTCACAGACCTCAGGCTGGAAGCCAGCATCTCCGGTGAGCGCCTTTATAAAGCAAGTCAGACTCGCCGGACTTTCTAGAAAAGAGCGTGGCCAAAATCCCCGAGGGGCTGAGATAATAGGCCTGTGTTGTAAAGTTATGAATGAGCAGAATGTTGATGTTTGTTGTGGTTATATTATTAATCAGATCAGAAGTTGATTTGGTTTAGAAGACACAGAACTCACCAGCGTACGAAAAGTAGACCGTTGTTAATCATTGACCTGTCTAATGAAAATTGTCTAGGTGGCGTATTATTTTCAAATGGGATTTTATATTCGTGGAGTCGAGTTACGTAGTCTGGTCCAGCTAGCATAGTTGGACGGGTTCTTGGAAAGGCCCAAGAGCAGCTTTTTGAAATTTGGGGGAATGGAAAATAACCTGTGGCTGTAGAAATTCACAACTGTCTGTCTAAATCCACCCCCTACCAAAAACCAAAAGACATAAAATTATGTATTTGTCAACCTTTGTTTTACTT